GGTAGTGCCTACTTCACAGAGTTGGGACCTCCTTCATGGATATGTAAGCTCTGAGGATGGCAATTATTAGACCAATGTGTGCACATGGTACTTGCGTCAGTCATTATTCCCGTGATCCCCGCCTGTACTCTGAGCTCTGTGAGGGCAGGGCCCAGGTCTGTCCTGCTCACATGGACTCCTGGTCGCCCTAATGTTATGGAATGGCTGTGAACTATTAGAAGTTATGCATGAGAAGGCCTGGGGAGCGTCTTCCCCTGGAGAACGCGGTCTAGGTTCTTGAGGTGCCTGGGCCCACACCATTGTGAGACCCGGGAGAGCTGGAAGTCAGCCCAGAGCCCAGTTGGGCCTCCCTGGGAGCTTGGGGGCATCGCTGCAGTCCCCAGGGCTGCCAAGTGCAGACAATAAACTATGGAAACCCTGGCAGGTGAGTCATTAAGGGTCCCTAAGGCCTCATGACAGGAGATGGCAGACGAGCTACTCAGGAGATGAGCTACTCAGGAGATGGCTGTTGATCTGGGGGCCCAAGTGCCACACTGTTCAGGAGGGCTCCACAGCCCAACCTGGTGGATCCAAGCCCTGCTTCTGCTCAGACGCTGCCCAAAGCTGGCTCCAGTGGGCCCACCAGGCACAGTGTGCATCACTAGCATTGCCCCCTTTCCTGAGCCTGTTTACAGGGGGATGTTGAGGCTTGTGGGGCTGCCTGGGGTGGCAGCATGAATTTTCTCCATGGAGGGGTTTGATGGCCTTGGACAGGAGCCCCTGGAAGGTGCAGACTATCTGTCACTTATGGCATATTGGGGAGAGAATGACAACAGGAACCGAAGAGGCAAAATGTCAGGGAGAGGGAGGACATGGGGGGTAGGGGTTAGATAAATGGCAGATAGAGGCAGAGGGACTGGAAGGAGCAGTGGGCAACCCACTGTGAGTGTGTGTGTGTGTGTGTGTGTGTGTGTGTGTGTGTTGCCTAGGTGAACACCAGCAGCCCCCCGCCCCCTGTCTCTTCAGTAGCCTTCCTGTGCCCCAGTTCACCCCGGCACTTGCTGCCGCACTGCAGCAGTCACCTCCCTTCCCATGCTTCCTGTTCCTCTGTCCAGATCTGACCACACCCCCATCTCACTGTCACAGGAAGGCCCAGGTGTCCACCCCATGCCCTGTGCAATGGGTTGGATCCGCACTCTGTGTCCCCAAAGCCCCCAGACCTCCCATCATAGCATGTCATTGTATTCTGGAATTGCCCCTTTGAGGTCATGACCCCCACCAGACTGGAGCCTCCTGAAGGCAGGGCTGGTCATCCTGGTGCCCTCTTTGTGCCCAGGGCCCAGCGTGTATGTGGCACACAGTAGGTGCTCAATGAGCTGCCTGCAGAATGAAAGTGGATGAGCCCCCGGGGCAGCTCATGTCCCCGGAGCCCTGCTCAGGCTGGCTTCACAGGGGTTTTACATCTTTAGTGGCTCTCCACTGCTTCCAGGCTCAGGCCCCAGCCTGGAGTCCGCACTGCCTCTGCCACTCCCCGTGGGTCCAACCCCGCCCTCCAGGAAACCTTGAGGCCTCCTGCTTCTACGACCCTTTGCTCCTGCGGTTCTGCTGCCAGCCTCCACCGCCTCCCCAAATCCCACCCTCTCCAAATGCTCATAAACCTCCCTCCCTGGTCTGGCCCTGGTTCTCCCTGCCGCTGAGGTGCCCCATATGCTGGAGGATGGGCCTTGGGGCAGGAAGGGTCTCCCAGACTCCCCGCTTGCCTTTCAGCGGAAAACATGGGCTAAGAGGTACTGGTGTGCATTGGTCTCTTACTGCTGAACTTCAATCCCTACTCTAACACGTAACTGTGTGACCTTAAGAAAGAGCTCTCTGGGTCTCAGTTTCCCCAACAACGAATGTACTAAGACTGGCTTATGAGAGTGGCTTCAGCGTGTGTGGCTGAAGGCTGGGTACTGACGTAGGACACGGTCCTGCTAGATCCCCTAACTTCTCCGGGTTTCAGTTTCCTTATGTGAAAATGGGCCAAGGAGATGCCCTTACCAGTGGGTGGAGAGGCCCAAAGGTGCGGACGGCTCAGGAGAAAGAAGCAGTGATTTTCTAGCCTCTCCCCTTACTTCCTTCTGCCCTGGGTTGGGTGTCATTCCTCCCACTCCTCTCCCCCACCCCCAAACTAGACCCAGCCCCCACTGCCCCCCACCCTGCTTTGTGAAAGGTCTGCCCATGGACCAGGGTGGGAGTGGAATGGGGTGGGGACTATGATTGCTCAGAATGAGAAGGGCAGGCAAGAACTTGAAAGACCGGTGTGGGGGTACACCCGCCTTGTCCCCCCAGAGGCTCTGGGGTTGTGGGGTGCAGCAGCTGGGGCACCAGGTCCAGCCACAGCCACTTTCCCCGGCCTTCCAGCCATGCTGTGCCCTGGAGCCCAGGAGGGGCTGGCCACCCGCCAGCCTGAGTGGAAATGTACCAGTGAAAAAGACCCTGTTGGGAGCCCTGGGAAGGGGTAAAAGGCTGAGAACCTGGGAACAGCTGGAAAGGGGTCCATCCCTGCACTGCAGCACTCCCTTCCTCCCTCCTCACCCTCCTTCAGGTCACCCCATGTTCAAGTTCAAGCTCTGCCTGCAGTGGGGGAGTGGCCTCCAAGTCAGCAGGTGGACCCCAGAATGTGGGGGCTGGGACACCCTAACTGTGGGAGGGTATGCATGGGTGTTGCCTGTGGTATTTCTAGGTGTGTGGTATGGGTCTGTTTATGTGTATGTGTGTGCTTGTGGTGCGTGTATCTATGTGTGTGTGTGTGTAGGACGTCTTTGAAGTGTGTGCGTGTGGTGTGTGTGCGTGTGTGGTGTGTCTGTGCTGTGAGTGGGATGTGAGGCTCAAAGCTGACGCTCAAGGTCCTCTTGACACAGAATCCTTGTCTGGCAAGGAGGAAAGAGGAGAAGGGAGGCGAGGGGAGGATCACCGGGGAGGGAAGGAAGAAGTGAAGGGGTGGGGAAGAGGTGTGAGGGGATGGGGAGGACGAGGGGGGAGGGAAGCAGGGAGGGGAAGGGGGTCCTCCTTCGTTCTCAGGAAGCGGGGTGTAGGACCACGCATCGCCGCCCGCCTTAGCCTCCTCGGGAGGCCCGAGTGGAGCGTCCTCCTCACCCCTCCCCCAACCCGTCGGTAGATCCCAGC